CCCTTGAGCCTCCCCCCCCCCCGGGTGATGATAATGGATATATTTGTTCACTCATGGCGGATGAATATGAAGCTGTGGTGCTGTGTACTATCATTACAGTGTGAGAGCAGCAGTTTATCATAGTAGAGCTGATCAGGAGGATTGGATCGCGTGAAAGCTATTAGGATTGTGGGTGGGCGTCGGCGTTTGTTCCTAGACTTTTATTCTCAATGGGAACACCATTGTATTTTCTCAGCAAATCTTCATCCTTCATTCCTTTTCGCGAATAATGGCCCATGAGTCTACGGGCATAAGAATATCAACGGCCAAAGCTCTGCTCTATTTTTGTTTCATTTCTCTTGACACTCATTCATCAGCGGCTGAAATAGTATTTTGCCTCACCAAATCTTAGCGTGCAACGCCAACTGTTAACAGTGCAACTGAATGCACAATTTGGACAGGATATTACGTATGGCCGGCCATAAGCCTAGCATGTTCTTTCCTGAATGATTAAAACAGGTGAATTATAGTCCATTTTAGAGAAATAGTAGATTTCCTGGAGCCTCAAAAATTGTTCCTTCAGAACCGACTGACATAACCTCCATCACAATGTCCTAACCAGTCACATTTATGGAGCTAACAGCGGCTTGTCTCTTACCCATTCTTTTCATTACAGTCACGGAAACTGGATTCTGGACGGAATGCCTCTGCGAGCGGCTGTTTGGGAAAATTTCATTCAAAAAGCCCCTGAACTGGTTCCTGATGTAGTCGTTTGTCTAATGGACAGAAGTAAGGATTCAGAGTTTATTCTGCGCCGATGGTACAAATATGAACGCGAAGGACTTAAAGGTACGGATGGATGCTGCTTCTGTATATTACTTTTGATTTCTACGTCATTTATTTCGTACACCAAATTTTATATACATTTTTACATGATTGCGCGGGTTAAGAAGCACATCATCCTATCATACAATTGTCTGGGTTTTACTCTTCATGTATAGTGGCTTGGCATCCGTTTCCAGACTTGCTGGTCACAACGAACTAGACTGATGTTCCACCGCACAAGTGTGTTGATCCCGCGTACGCTGAGCATTGTGCACAACTATCTAAATGCCATTTATTCGGCATAAACTTGAAGGAACAGGACCGGGAATTGGGCCGAATGGGGGCACTTCCGAAGCTACCAGAGTCTCCTAACAATGGCCCATACTGACAACCCACATACGGCAAATAACCGCCACCATTTTCGCAGGATGTTCACTTCCACCAATAAAGCGTATCCACGCACATACTTATAATTACTTTCATGTACCGTCACTTATTTTGTACACCACATTTTATATAAATTTTCACATGATTTTGCTGGTTAAGAAGCACATCGTCCTATCATACAATTGTCTGGGTTTTACTCTTCATGTATAGTGGCTTGGCATCCGTTTCCAGACTTGCTGGTCACAACGAGCTAGACTGATGTTCCACCGCACAAGTGTGATGATCCCGCATACGCTGAGCATTGTGCACAACTATCTAAATGCCATTTATTCGGCATAAACTTGAAGGAACAGGACCGGGAATTGGGCCGAATGGGGGCACTTCCGAAGCTACCAGAGTCTCCTAACAATGGCCCATACTGACAACCCACATACGGCAAATAACCGCCACCATTTTCGCAGGATGTTCACTTCCACCAATAAAGCGTATCCACGCACATACTTATAATTACTTTCATGTACATGCCCATATATATATATATATATATATATATATATATATAT